AGCAGCAATGAAGAGCCAGTCTGGTTGGAGTAACAAGAAGGACAGACAGCTTTTTTGAACTAGACGTTTTCTAAAATTGCTGAACATCAAAGTTGAGACAACTCTGCATTCTTTCAAAGTCCAAGGACCATCTTCTTTTAAAAGGCAGCTCTTCCTTTTCCTCGATAAGCTCTAGGAAACTAGGTTTTTTGCTGTCTCCGCTATGGATCCACCAACACGTCAAGAGCTGTTGAGGCAGACATGTGTGAGATGGTCCATTCCCAAATGGCTTTAAATCTAAAATCTGCTCCTGCTGCAGGGCAGTTCAAGGCTGGAGAGAGGCTGAGTGGCTAAACCTTCCTGCTTTTCACCCAGACAGGAGCATCCAGGGGATTCGAGGTAAAAAAAAAAAATCCCCACACATCTGGCTCCTGCCCTCCTTCCTCATAAATGACCTGCACCACTCCCATGCCAGGTCCCACATGCCCTTTAGCACTGCAGGGGGGGAAGAGTCAGAAAGCCATGTGTTCCCATAGGTGAGCTACTCATAATGGGATTGAGTATTCAAGGAGTGAGGTGGGGGACAGCTACAGGTAGCCAAAGGTGAGACTTCTGAGGGATGGAAACATCATGTGACTCAAATGTCCTACTGGCCTCACACCTGCAGCCCTCCAGGCAGTCTGGATGGCCAGAGAGACCTGAGCTCACACTCCACCAAGCAGGAGAAAGGTCTTAAGAAGACTGGACAAAATGAAGAATGAACTAGATGTCTCAGGGACCCTGGACAGTAAAAAAGCAGGAAGAGGGGCTGGGCGAACAATGCCTCTGTCCCTTGTCCCTGCCAGGTTGTCCCCACTGGCCATTGCTGTTGAAATGACATCTAACTGGGAGACAAAACTCCGAAGTGGACACAGCTGGAGTCCAGGCAGGCTGGGAGGCCGAACACAATGGAGAGACTCTACCATATGCTGAGAGTTCCTGCTTTTTTTTTTTTAATTCTTTCTTTCATAAAAGAAAAAAATTCTTTCTTTCATAAATTTTATATATATATGTATGTATGTATATATCTCACAGACAACAGAGGAAGGAACAACATAAAAGTTTATATGGAAAAAAAACCCTCACCTCTCAGATCTGGTGCTCATAAAACCAGATCCAGTTGGAAGGGTTGACAAGTGCCCTGGCGTTTTTCACAGCTGCCCTTATGGATTTTCATGCTGTTACAGCCCTGGGGTTTTCTGAGACTCTGCTGGGGGCAAACCCTACATCCTGCTGGCCTTCCAATCTGTGCTCTTTAGCAACTCTAACTCACCGTTGCCCCATTAAACTTTCAAGGGACTTATATCCTCTCAGTCTGCTTGCCAAGTGATCTGACTTCAAGTCGTTCCCTGGAAAAGTCAAGAGAGGATGTCTCTAGTCAAGGAAGTTTAGGAAATGCTACCCAGACTTTTCTGGGAGGTTCGCAATGCATACCTGCCTGTTATGAGCGGTGAGAGGGCCTGCAGTCTCGATGCCTCCCAAACTCACCTGACAGTTATGTCCTCACGCAAGACCTCCTGCAAACACAGTGTGGCAGAAACATCGGCTGGGAAATGCCACCCTAAATCCTGCTCACTCACACACTAGGTTGCATATTGCCCACCTCGGAGTGGGCTTTGGAGACTTCGTGAACCCAAATGCAAGACCCAACCTTTATTCCTGGAATGCGTTATCTTGTTACGCTCAGCCCCACCCACCCAGCCTGTCAAGGTCTTTTTGGAACTTGATTCTTAGGACCGTATTTGTCTTGGACTCACGTCTCTCTAGCAAATGTTTCCACAGGCACACACACGTCTGCAGGAAAAGAGTAGCCCATAGGTGAAGCCAGTTGCAGCTCTTCAACACAGCTGGCTCATTGAGTCCTGCATGCGCAGCCCCTCTTGGGAGGCATGCTTGGGCAAGATCCTTCCGGAGTATCAGGGATGAGTTTTATGTGGTTTCCAAGGAGATGCATTCATTTGAAGTTGTTTTTCCATCGAATGGCCCCAAAGTGAAAAGTGGTTGCAGGGAAGCTGAATTATGACTTAATGCCAGTAGCAGCTGCTGGTAACTACAGGGAAGGGGTGGGGAGCTGGTGGCTGGGAGTTGGGGGTTCATTAACACTCACTTCTTAAATTAGCAAGTCCTCCTGGTACAAGTTTAAAAATAGAAACCTAATGGTTTCTAAAATTAGCAGTCATGGCTTTCCATAAATATTTAGACCTCTAATAAACTTCAGGTCCACTTCCCTAGACTAATGGGGTCAAGCAGGCTTAGCTTTTATGCCACATTCTTGAGGATCAGTGTACTTAAAATGATTGACCTTGACAAGCAAGAGCTTTGAGAAGCCTTGGACCTGGGACAGCCTGCATGGACATCAGCCTGGGGACAGCCACCGGGCAAGCCTAGAAGGATCGTAAAGGCCATTTGGAAAAGTTCGCAGCCTCTGGGCTACCTGGAGGAACCAACTGTCCAGGTTTGCCTGGTACTGTCCTGATTTCAGGCTGAAAGTCCCCTGCCCTGGGCACCTCTCAGTCTTCAGCAAACCGGCTCAGTTGGTCACTCCGGTTGCCTGAACCACTGTAAAAGGATTGAGACCAATGTTTTGAGACGTCTTTGGGGAGAAGAGTCAACTCTCCAGAAGGGCCTTGATGATACCACCTCTCGCTCTTTACACCAGTGTTGCTCCTATTTATTTGAAGAAGCTAGTGTTTGTAAGAGGAATTAACCACCGAAAGGACCAGCCAGGCTAGGCATAGAACTTCATCCCCCACACAGAGTTTCCCTGTGTGAAAACAGGATGAACAGCTGCTGCATGGGGAACACACTGGGCAGCATTAAGTCAAGGCACACGCAGCACCCTGCATCGTTTACACCCAGAAATTGGAGCTTTGGTGTCAGCTCTGCTAGGGTGCTCAGCGCATCAGGTGGGGGTTGCTGAAGCTGCCCCGGCCCACACATCAGAGCAACCCCTGTGTGGGCCCCCTCTCCTCCCTGGCAGTGCCTGCAGGGCAGCCGAGGCTGCTCTGGGCAACAGGCACTGTCAGGGTCCCCCCACCCCGACCCAGCACTTGCACAAAGTGAGCACTTGCTGAGAGGAAGGAAAAGCCTTCCTGCAGAGCCTAAAGGGGACCAGCATCCTGATGAGGTGCAGGGGGCTGGTCAGCGTCAAGTGTGGGTGAAACACACTGTGTCCTGAACAAATGATCCTTTAAAAGGCCCGAGAAAACCCACTGCCAGGGGACTGCATGTCCTGTTTGGCACCACACCATTATGCTGTCACCGAGCTTTGCTTGTTTGTTAACCAGCATAGAACTAAGAATCTCCTGCTATGACGCTCAGACATCTAAGCCCCATATACAGTTTTAAATCCAGCAAAATGATGGTAATTGAGTAGGGGTTCTCCCCAAGGGATCCGGGGTTAAAGACGGTCATAGTGAGCGTCAGCAGGGCCTGGGAGGTGCCCTGCCAGCCCACCGTTCTCTCCTGGCAGCCTCCCACACTTCACTGAGATGAAGGAAGAAATGGGTTTTGCCTACTGAGGTCTTCCTTGGTTTGGAATGTTGAAGTGACTTGTTATCAGAGAAGCGTCCCTTTTCTCCCTTCAGGACCAGGAGACACTTTGGGGCTCTGGGGTCTAGCTCCCTCGTGTTAGAGAAAGAAGCTGAGCCCAGAGAGACCCCCCCCCCCGAGTCACCCAGCAGGTAGGGGTGGCAACATGGTTTGGTACCCTGCCCCAGGCAAGAGAGAGGAGCCGGTGGTGGCCACTGGGGTATTTCTGCTGGCCCTCCCGCCTTCCTTCCTCCCTTCCACTCCTCCCTGCATCCTTTTCCCTGCTTCTCTCCATCCTTCCTTCTAATATTTTCTGAGTGTCCCCTATTTGTCTGGCACTGCACAGGTGCTGGGTCCCTGCCCCCAAGAAGTGGTCTAGATTTTGCCATGGTTAGAATTTTTTAAACCTCTGAAATGGCTCCGCATTCTTGTCTCTCTGAAAGGCAGGTGGCCGTGCTTGGTTTGCAACAAGCCCACCGCCCTGCAGAGAGGTGAGAGGGGAGGCGGCCTGCCTGGAGGGGGTGGTGGGTGATTCGTGGTGCTGGGCTGAGCACCTAAGGACTGGTGACCTTGGTCATCCCTGGCCCCTGGCATCAGTAGGCAATCTCTAAATTCACATCCAGCTCAGGATTCTGGAAGGAAGCATCAGCCCCGCCTACGGGTGCTAAACCTCTCCCACCCGGAGAGCACAGGGAAGTCACCACCTTGACGGGCCACCACAGGCTAATTTCTAAGTCGTAGGTAACACACCACTTGACTCTTGTCAGTCCGTTGGCCGGTTTATTTTTTTTTAATAATAAATTTATTTTTTATTGGTGTTCAATTTACCAACATACAGAATAACACCCAGTGCTCACCCCGTCAAGTGCCCCCCTCAGTGTCCGCCACCCAGTCACCCCCACCCCTCGCCCTCCTCCCCTTCCACCACCCCTAGTTTGTTTCCCAGAGTTAGGAGTCTTTATGTTCTGTCTCCCTTTCTGATATTTCCTACCCATTTCTTCTCCTTCCCCTCTATTCCCTTTCACTATTATTTATATTCCCCAAATGAATGAGACCATATGTTTGTGGCCGGTTTAACAACCGAAGTGATTACTGGCCAAACGGTAGGAGAGGAGATTCAGATGCAGCAGAAGTGTTTCAGGGTAGACATAAGGTAGAACTTGCCACACACGCTTGCTAAGGGCTGACAGATGGCAATTGGGGGGTGTGGACTGCCCTTCGCTGGGGTCCCTGCCGGGGTTCCTGCCCCCATCCCTTCCCCTTCTGGCCTTCCAGGGAAAATGTCGTAGCCCGGCCGCTCATTCCTTCACCCAGTGAAGTCTCAGCAACTGTTTTTGAAAAATATGTTAATTGTCATACCAACTGCCTATGGAAAACTCAGTTTCGGTGGCAGAAATAAATGCAGCGAGATAATCTTTAACTCCTTTCCTTCCTCCCCCCGGCTTCATTAGGACTCCGGCGGGCGCCTGAGCGAGCCGGGCAGCGGGCACCCGGACCATGGCCAGCACCGCCGTGCAGCTGCTGGGCTTCCTGCTCAGCTTCCTGGGCCTGGTGGGCACGCTGATCACCACCATCCTGCCGCACTGGCGCCGCACGGCGCACGTGGGCACCAACATCCTGACGGCCGTGTCCTACCTGAAGGGGCTGTGGATGGAGTGCGTGTGGCACAGCACAGGCATCTACCAGTGCCAGATCTACCGCTCGCTGCTGGCGCTGCCGCGGGACCTGCAGGCAGCCCGTGCGCTCATGGTCATCTCGTGCCTGCTGTCGGCCGCCGCCTGCGCCTGTGCCGTCGTGGGCATGAAGTGCACGCGCTGCGCCAAGGGCACCCCGGCCAAGACCGTGTGCGCCGTGCTGGGCGGCGCGCTCTTCCTCCTGGCCGGCCTGCTGTGCATGGTGGCCGTCTCCTGGACCACCAACGACGTGGTGCAGAACTTCTACAACCCGCTGCTGCCCAGCGGCATGAAGTTCGAGCTCGGGCAGGCCCTCTACCTCGGCTTCATCTCCTCGTCCCTGTCGCTCATCGGTGGCACGCTGCTTTGCCTGTCCTGCCTGGATGAGGTGCCCTCCGGGCCCCACCAGGTGCCGCCCAGGGCCACCACGGCCACCACCGCGCCCGCCTACCGGCCCCCCGCCGCCTTCAAGGACAACCGGGCCCCCTCAGCCACCTCGGCCTCGCTCAGCGGGTACAGACTGAACGACTATGTGTGAGTGCCCAGGGCCTGCCCCTCCCCGAGCCCACGGACCCCGGGGTGGCACCCATGCACGGTCCCGGCCCAGGGTCGGCTTCTGGGCCACTCTCGTGTCCAGAGGAATAATACGATCGCAAGGGGAGTGGGCTTAGAACACAGGGAAGGAGGGGGGAATGGGAGGAGAGGAGCTCTATATACCAAAGACTTACAACAATCCTTTCTGGTTTTTTTATTTATTATATGTATTTATGTGGGTGATTTAATAACAGCTGAATGCAAAGCAACTCGGGAGTTTGGTCTGTGGGGTTTGTCTGCGGTATAGGAATAAACCTTTTGGATGTGGTCGTGCACGTAATAGACAGTATCCGTTTCTGTTTCCGATCTGTCCTGTCTGCTAAGGTCTTGTAACCACCGCACACCGTCACAGCTTCACACGGCAAAGCGATGGGGACACTCGGCGAGGGGCCCTGACCCACACATGATGGGAAAATCAGTGGAGGGCTGGGCTGATACTCATCGAAAAGCTGCTTGAGCAACACCCACCAAAAACTGTCAACTCCAGCTTAAGTGCAGAAGCAGGGCAGGAAGCACAGGGCTTTGGGGGGAAAAGACGGGGGCCGTAAATCACACAGTAAAGGTAATGTGTTCTAGTGGTAGCCCCCCACTAGTAAGGAAGCAAAAGTCAGCATTAAAAAGACAAAGCGGGGGGGGGGGGTCTCTCTATCTCCTGGATCTGAATGTCTGTTTCCCTTCCCAAGCTAGGGAAGTTCTCAATTATCCCAATATTTATAGCAGCAATGTCCACAATAGCCACACTGTGGAAGGAGACTCGGTGTCCATCGAAAGATGATGGATAAAGATGTGGTCTATGTATACAATGGAATATTCCTCAGCCATTAGAAAAGACAAATACCCACCATTTGCTTCGATGTGGAGGGACCTGGAGGGTATTATGCTGAGTGAAGTAAGTCAGTTGGAGAAGGACAAACATTATATGGTCTCATTCATTTGGGGAATATAAAAAAATAGTGAAAGGGAATAAAGGGAAAGGAGAGAAAATGAGTGAAAATATCAGTGAGGGAGACAAAACATGAGAGACACCTAACTCTGGGAAACGAACAAGGGGTGGTGGAAAGGGAGGTGGGTGGGGGGTGGGGGTGACTGGGTGACAGGCACTGAGGAGGGCACTTGATGGGATGAGCACTGGGTGTTATTCTATATGTTGGCAAATTGAACACAATAAAAAATAAATAAATAATAAAAACAAACAAACAAACAAATAAATAAATAAATAAAAAGACAAAGCAGGGATGCCTGAGTGGCTCAGCAGTTGCCCTGCCTTCGGCTCAGGGCGTGATCCCGGGGTCCTGGGATCAAGTCCTGCATCAGGCTCCCTGCAGGGAGCCTCCTTCTCCCTCTGCTTGTGTCTCTGCCTCTCTTTGTGTCTCTCATGAATGAATAAATAAAATCATTTAAAAAAGACAAATCAGGGGTGGCTGCTTACTTAGCTATCTAGGCATTGGCAAGAAGCCCAGTTAGGAGCACTGCTCATGCCCAAGGGCCCTGCAGAACACCACCAGCTCCTTTTCTGGGGACAGAAGCAGGATGGCAGGGCACCTGGTTGGCTCAGTGGTTGAGCATCTGCTTTTGGCTCGGGGCGTGATCCTGGTGACTTGGGATCGAGTCCCATGTTGGGCTCCCTGCATGGAGCCTGCTTCTCCCTCTGCCTGTGTCTCTGCCTCTCTCTCTGTGTCTCTCATGAGTAAATAAATGAAATCCTTAAAAAAAAAAAAAGAAGCAGGGTGGCAGCTGCCATCAGAACAGGTACAAGAGTGTGTTCACTTCTCTTTTAGCTCCAAAGCACTGCTGAGAGGACCAGAGGAGCTCAGACTTCTTTAAGAACATCGATGATGCTTTCTGGTTGTGATCTAAATCACATGGTCAGAGAGCTGTACAGGGTCACACACACACACACACACACACACACACACACACAGCTCTCCTGTTAGCCTGGGGACCTTAGTCCTGTTCTATCTCCATCCATTTCACAGCCTTCCCATGATTCCCCCTGATGGTGCCCGGCTCATGCCTTTGTCCCAAACTTCAAGTTCTGAACATGTCAAGAGAATACCTTGTTCTGCAGAAGGGCCGTGCCTGAGAGCTGTGCCTCCATGCTCAAGGGGTCTTGGAGAAGGGTGCCCAGGGTTCCAGCAGTCACTGCCTGCAGAGGAGAGAGCCACAGCGTGTCAGCACAGACATGGAGCCAGCTGGCCAAGCTCGCTGCTGCAGTGGCCAGGATCAGAGGGGTGGAAGAGGAGGCTCCTGGACCATGGTCAAAGGGCCAGGCAGGCTGTAGCATGGTGCCCCTGGATCCAACAAGGCCAGAGGTGGGTTCATCCTCCGCTGACTTCATGCTTCCATCTGACAGGGTCCTCCAGGCCCTCCGATCAGGCCACTGAGATGGTGACAAGAGCCTCAGCCACCATGTGCTTCACGTGCAGGCAGAGGCTCTCAGCAGGGATGTGTGTACACTGAGAGACCCTCTGGTTCCTTTTGGCCTTACCAGTTACAGCTACTGAACTACACTGTTGCTGAGGTCTGGCAGGAGGAAAATCTTCCTGACATGGAGAAGTGGGAGTTAAAGGAGAAGCTCTGTACTACTTTATGTTGACCTTACAACCCAGGCAACAGGTACCACCTGGGTTTGGAAGGAGGGGTGCAGTACATTTTAGCCTTTATCTGAGCACAGAGAAGCTAGGAGGGCTGGGATCTGCCATCCCAACAAGGCCAAGGAATTAGACCAGAAAGGTCATCATTCATGTAGGATGAAACAAATAATCTTAACCTACTCTTTAAACTATAAAAGATAAATCAATCTGAACCAATAAAGAAGGGAAATAGAATCTTCTAAAACCAGAATGATAGTCTGGTTAGCCCTCCCTTGATGGTCGTGGTCTATAATGTGTCTGGTGAAGTTACTCTAGGTAATAGACCTATTATAAATTAAAGAAAAAAATAGCATTTTTTTCTAATTCTTCCTTGAATTATCTCATTACTAAAATAAAACATGTCCCTATCTCCTACTCAGGTGAGAGGTCAATAGTAATAGTGATTACAGTTTACTGGGCACTTACTATGTGCCAAGCATACTTTTTGTTGACTAATTTGGTCCAATGAGACCCATGAGAATCCAATGAGATAAACACAACTCTTAGCCCCATTTTACAAAGGAGAAAATTAAAGCATTTCGAAGAGATTAGCTACTTGCCCAGGGTCACAGAGCCAATGAGTAAAAGACCCAGGATTCAAAGCCAGACAGGTAAGCAGGTGACAGATATGTTCACTCAAGTAGCGGCATGACCCATAGTCTAGTTGCTTTTGTGTCTAGACTATTTCCAAACAATTAAGAGATTATTTCATGACCATATATGGTTCTTGCCACAATCTTCACTCCCTAGAGCTTCTGTTGCCTGGGCTCTGACTGTATTGATGGAATGTGATGTCAGACCCAAAGGTCCAAACTTGAATCCCCATAGAAAGCAGGAAGCAACATATAAGAAGTGACACATGGATGACTCCGTCCTATAGCTAGCCAGTTCAAACAGGAAGTAGATGTGAATAAGACCTTGATTCTCTCCCTCAAGTAATAGGGTATAAGAATGCAGTTCCCTGTTTCCTCCGTCACTCCCAGGGCAAGTATCTCAGGCCACGCAAGCCCCTCTCTTGCCATGTTACCACCAGGGCCTTCAAGTAGGTGCCTGTTCCTGGTTTTGCTCAAACCTTTGGAACTGGCCGGTCTTAAGCAAGGCTGCTTTAACAACAGTATGGTCTTCTTTTGGAGATCCAACACACAGTCCCAAGTTTCAGAATAAAAAGGAAATGTGAGTCAGACCGTTGTCATGGATATTAATTACAACATGACCCTCATGGGATAAGAAATGCTACAATTCCTTGCTTCTCTAAATCAAATCAAGTTTGGCTCTGATCCATGTTTTCTGGTTCTCTCCCCTGCATTTAGGTTGTCTCAGGGCCACAGAGCTAAGGGAGGCCCTGGATTTGTAGGAGTGAAGGCCAGTCTTGAGTCCTTGGGGATGCCTTGTTGCTACCCATTGACTGTTGGCATTGGTGCTTTCACAGCCCACGGCGTCCTGATGCTCCTCCTAGGCCACAGCCCTTCCATCACCACAGTCATTCACGTCATGTCCCAGGCCCTCACCAGCCCTGTGTGAGTAGACACTGGAAACTTCCACTCATGAACCCTTTGTCCTTGGCTGAGTCTCTGGGAAGCCACTTTCTGAGATGGAGACATGCCCCTCTCCTACCCAAAGCACCTGAATGTCACCTCTTGAATAGCACACTCTGATTGCTCTCATAGGTTTAGCCTTTAGAAATCAAAGGACTGGGAAACGAACTAGGGGTGGTGGAAGGGGAGGAGGGCGGGGGGTGGGGGTGAGTGGGTGACGGGCACTGAGGGGGACACTTGACGGGATGAGCACTGGGTGTTATTCTGTATGTTAGTAAATTGAACACCAATAAAAATTAATTTATTTAAAAAAAATAAAATATGATGACTATGCTTCCCAAATAAAAATAAAAAAAAAGAAAGAAAGAAATCAAAGGACTCTGAAATCTCCCAGACAACTCTACTTTTGTGTCAGCCACTCTCAGCCCTAGGTGGAAACAATTTGAGAATGATCGCTCACTCACAATCTGTATAACAACCGTCTATTACGTTGTGGTGATAAACTGAAGACAGGGCCAGGATTTCCACCCTCAGTGCCTGGCTCCAACGTCCCATGCTTGGCCACAAAGCCACTGTACTTCTCCCTGCCTTAGTCCCTCCTTGCTTTTTCCCTGCCAGGCAGAGGGAATGGCATGGATGATGAGAATCTTGGCAGGAGATGTGGCTGTGAACCAGGTGGCAGGATGGAAGGGGAAGAAGAGATTGGCCTGCAGACAGAGCCAATAGGATTTCCTGGGGGCTTGATTCTGGGTGTGAAAAGAAAAGTCTTAAAAAAAAAAAAAAGAAAGAAAGAAAAGTCTTAAAGGATAATGCCAAGATTTGGGGCTGGATCAACTGGAAGCATGGGATTAGTATTTTCTGAAATGAAGAAGATTCTAGAAAGAAAAGCTTCCAATCTACTAAGGTAGATTAAATCAATTTTCCAGGTGTTTGGTCTGAGCTGCCTCCAAGGAAGATGTGGGGTGGATCCTTGTATATACAAAGCTGGAGCTCAGAGAGAGGTCACTTTGGGAGCCATCAGCCCAGGAATATCACTTAAGCTGGCAGCTAGAAAGGATCACGTTGGAAGTGAACCAGATGAGGAATCAGAGGCCAAAAATGTTCATGTTTGGAGGGTG